ACTGTGGCAGCTGAAATCCACCCAATCTGGAGCTGCTGACCAGCCACTTCCCCAGTAAATGCGATTTGAGACACCAAAGAGCTCACCGTGTAGCCCATTTGGACACACTACATGCATTGTGCATTTGTGATTCCTCACTCAGGGTAGTTTGCAGGCGATTTACATGATGTCCTCCTCCTCCAGGGCCTCTCCCCTTCTTTGCAACTTTCCACGGATTGATGGATTGATTTTAAAGAACAAGGAAAATCCGGTATTATTTGAAAGTGGCGGCATGAAGCTCTCATGCATTTGTGCTATTCTACTGCACTGCAGCACCATCTAGTGGTTGTGCCAGGGAACATAAAGGCAGAAAACCCTCAGGAAAAACAGGGTAAAGTTTCCACAGAAAAGTGATGGCTTGAAAGCCTCATGTAGAAAAGCCACGAGCCCATATTCCCCTTTAGAAACAAGATTCATTCCTTCTTGGGATGAAATAATTCCCCACTAAAAAATCTGGGAGTGGAGAACTCGCAAGGGGTCTCAAGTCCAGCTTTCTCTGAGACAGGATTGGAGGGAATTCGTGGGGGGTTTCCTTCTCGCGGGGGCTCAGCTGCTTGCCCTCCCGGGGGCCAGCTTGTCTGCACGCCTCCTTTCCAACAACATTCAACAAGAGCATTTGGAGCATTGAATGTATGGAGGGGGCTTTGACTGGGAGTGGGGCGATGCCAAGCATGACTGCAGGAATCTTCCAGTTTTCAGCAGGGGGTGAGCAGAGGAAGCCACACTAGGCTGCAGCAAAGCCCCGGCAGGGCATCCCAGGTAGGCGGCTAGCAGCTGTGTGCGCCCCTTCACTCATGGCAGCTTGAAGTGGCCTTCCGCACCGCCGACCTCGGGGGCCTCTCCCGTGTTTTCCAATCATCCCCCACTGTTTCTGAGAACAAGGAGCTTTTATTAGCTGTGGCACAAAAGCAGCCCGTGTATTTCTGCAGTGCAAAGCCACACAAAAGAGTATTCAGGCAGGCAGGCAGGCAGGCCGGCCAAGAAAACTCTTGAGAAAAAAAGCCAGCATGTAAAGAAAGTGCTGTAGCTCCCACAGAGAGAAGGGAAGAAGCTCCACCTTCCTGCGGGGTGCAGGATCCATGTGCCGTGCCTGATTGCAGAAGGTGGGACTAGAGAATCCAGGGCCCCTCCTTCCAGCTCTGACTTTCTCGTTTGTTTCTGCAGGGAAGCAGCAAAATCCCTACAGATCGGCATCAAGTAAGTGATGCCCCTTCTTTGGAACAGTAATAGGGCAGGAGGAAAGGAGACAGGTGGGTGAGCGGCAGTTAGGTAAGGGCACGGGGTTTTGGAAAGGCAATTCCTCCTGCAAATTCGGTGTGAAAACCGATTGTCGGGGGGGGGGGATTTCTCTCCTTCGAACAATCCCCAGCCACAGACCAGTTTCCTTGCAAATGTCCTTTACTGCCTCCAGGTACAAATCACCCAAAACAGATCTCTGAGCATGCACAGAGCAGTTTGTCAAAGCCAGTCTAGTGTTTACCTCCAGGAACGCTCCTTGGGAACATGCCTGGGCCCCAGACCTTTGGGAGGGGCTTCCTGAAGTCAAGCACACCAGCCCTGCTCTCGTCTCCCCCGTCTCCACTAACGCTGCACCCGGGGAGTCCCCTGGATTCCCAGCAGCACTTCCTGGGGCTGCACAGTGAGAATGTCTGGCTGGGGAAGAGCCTGACCTTACCCCACCTGCTCTATCTCAGAGTCTTCGCCCAACCCATCGACCCCAGTTCCACCGAGCTTTAATGGACTTTCTGGTTAGGGTTAGGGTTAGGGTGAAGAGAAATGGACATTAGCCCAAGTTGGGTGACTTCTGGGTAACGGGGCTCAATTGTTTATTTAGCAGATGTGGATGGAGGCGAAACGTGGGCTCTGTCTGTCTTGTGTTTGCTCAGAAATCCCCAGAGACACGCCATGAATTGCTTGGCTGTGTCCAAGCAGCCTAGAAGTAGACTTGTGATTTGATTATTTCTACCAGCTGTTCAGCCCCTTGAGGTTCTTCCTGCCACCCTACTTGAGAGCAAACCCCGTTAAGCCCAGTAAAAAGGGGAGGCAGTTTAACCCCCGCCTCCCCCCCCCCCCCGGCCGCAGGCTTGCAAACAAAATGGGGGGATTCCTCTCCCACTGCTGCTGCACCCCATGGGGAAACTGCCGCCAAGCTGGTCACTCCTCCCCTGGGCTGTGGCTGGGTCCTGTATAATCACCAAAGGGAACTAATTAGCCCCCCAAACCAAGTTGAAGGCAGATGCTGCTTCTGAGCCCCCATCACCAAGGAGAAGGGCCAACACAGATCTCCGTAAAGCACATTTCGCTGATTTAGATGTCCAGATCCAAATTAAGAACTCATTACTCTAACCACCCCCGGAGGTGGTTCAGAAACTGCAACGGGTGCAGAACACGGCAGCCAGATTCTGCAGGTCCCGACATATGCGACTGGCTCTGGCCCACTTGCATGGGCCGCCTGCATTCTCCCAGTCCCCATGCAGGGTGCTGGTTTGACCCCGAGGTGCTGCCTTCCCCTCCCCTCCTCTATCCAGGTTTCCTCTGAGGTCCTCAGCATTGGGGGCCGTGCCAGGTGCTGAGAAGATCCAAGGCTCTGCCACACCGAAATCCCGCAATTAAGGCTCAAATGATCAGTTTCTTGTGAGGGCAATTAGGTTTCTTTACAATTGAAGGCATGGATTCATGGGTGCCCAAGCAGGAACACCCCATGATAATTTCCTTAGGTTTATATAGAATGCACAAAAGGGGAGTGAATACAATACACAGGAAGGTGAATGGATACTTTGACATGGATAGGAAAGTGATTGGACACACATCACAGCACCATAAAGAAAACTCAAATTTCACTGTAATTAGAGACCTTTCACAGGCCTGCTAAACTAAAGTTGCCTTGAACAGGCTGGCCAAGTTAAGTAAACAAAAGGTTGCATGTGTGAACTTACAGGGTTAGGGAGGCACTTTAGCAAGCCTGTAACACACAGCGATTGCACTTTGACAGTTACCCACTAACGGAGTGGGGTCCTCTGGTCTCCACCACCGGACACCGAGGCCTCTTTTGATGTGCTTTCAGCAAGGCAGTGAGGTGGGATGGTAAGAATTGCTTTTCTGAGTACAGCTCAACCCAGAGGACCAAAACCCAAAAAACGTATGTTTGCATAGGCTGGGTTTCATACTCTCTTATGGTTGCATGGGGCGTGTGTCTTTAAAGGACCCTGTGTCCTGAGGACGCCTCGATTTGTAAAAAGGGGTATCAGGTCAGGGGCATGAAGGCATTTGATTGCAGAGAAAAAAATCAAGGTTCGTGGATTGGGGGAAGTGGGCAAACAGCCAGCAAATCCAGGGGGGCCGATGCAATGGAGACCCTCCTCGTCCTGCAGCTTCATTTCGGCAAGTGCCCATGGACAGCCAGGGGGTGGGGCAGAGAGCCTCCCCAAGATTTGGGGTCCTGAATGAAGGATTCGGGGATCCCACCCCAGCAGGCCACCCGCTAGCACCGTCTCAGCTCCCATGATCACAGACTTCCCCCTCTTCTTCCTTTCGACAGTATAACTGATGTGGGCACCACTCTTCCGAGTGAAAGAAGAGAGAGGGAGAGGGAGAATGAGAGGCGTGAGTTCCTTCAGCATCCCAGATCCTTCCAGGCCCTCGATCCTTCCTGGTATCTTCTTTGGCTGCTTGGAGCTCCTCTGGGCCTGGCTGGACCCGCTCCTGAAGACATAGGAACAGAGCGAGTCAGAAGGGGCCTCCCGGGCCATCTAGTCTGACCCCTGGCTCCGTCGACTCCTCTCACGACAGGCCCACCCTGTGCATGTCCAGCCTATCCTTGAACGCCCCCACCAGTGGGGCCTCGGCCACCTCCCATGGAAGACGTGCTTGCCCAAATCAACAGCTTCCTCTGCTCCCACTTGGCCTTCTGCCATCATCTTCCCTGTTGGGAGCCTTCAAGGAGCAGGAGCGGGAGAGAGGAGCTGAGCTTTCCCTGCTCTCAGGGGCCATCTTCTACCCACTGCCCTCTGGGAACTGGGAACGTTGCTGTGCTTCAGGTATTTTTATGCCACTTTTAAGTAGCCTCGGCCAGATTGTATACTGAATGGTAACACGGAAACAATTGTAATAGCACATTAAAAATAAATAAGTCGTCCTTGGCTTGTCGAAGCATCTTTTCAGAGGCTAAACGAGGCAAGAGGCCGTTATCGTAAAGCGGAAGGAGAGCCATTCCTAAAAAGACCTGGTGATGTCCCTCTGCTGAGCTCTGCGAGCCAGCTTCGCCGCGGGGCCCGTCTCAGGAGATGCGGCGGGATGCTTTGCATCCAGGCTTCTGCAGGGAAAGTCCGGCCCCCAGCCCTGCTATTGAGGCAGGGCTGCTTCCTCTGTGATTTTACTGGGCCTCTGTAAGACTGTAAAGGAACCAGCCTCTTTCAGTGATGCTTTGAACCATCTTCCCCCGACTGGTGCCCTCAGGATGAATAGGACTGGATTGAAATTCCCATCTGCCCCAACCGGCATGGGCCCTACTGGTTGGGGAGATGGGAGCTGCACTCCAAGACACTGGGAGAGCACCAAGTTGGGGAAGGGCTGATGAAGCTATTCATGACTTTTTCAGAAGGGCCATCGAGGGGAGAGCCTCGAAATTCAGCTGCTCAGATGGAAAAATGGCTGTTGGGTTTTGGCATTCCTCCTGTGCATTGTGCAACATGGTTCCCCTCTGTGCAAGGCTGAAGAAATGACGTGAAGATAAATCATTTATTTATCTTTTCGATTTATATTCTGCCTTTTTCCTACAAAGAAAGCTTAAGCTTAAGCTTTTCTTAAGCTTTTCTTGGTATGACATCATAATTCTTTTCTGCTTTTTTAATTGACTTGGTCACTCTCCCATTTTGCTCCATTTTTAAACAGAACTGTTAGGAGTTTTTTATAGCAGAGAAAATGAGGGTTTTTTTAAAGATAAGCAGAAGAAACTATTTCTATGTGTGTATTTGCATTATTTCATTGATATGATTTAATCCTTCTTATATCATGCACAATTCTTCTATATAGCTGTTCCTTGCATTCTGGGTCACTCAGGAACATGCTGAAAGAACCAGACAGACAGACAGACAGACAGACAGACAGACAGGGTAACAGTTAGTCAAGTTTAAGGTTCAGTGAGATGGTTTGACCCTAAATGTTGGGAAGATAGCCGGGGAGCAGCCTCCACCTTAGGATACCTGATATGCAGATCGGTGGGAATGTGGAGCCCTGGGAATTCTGTTCGATAGGAGCTTGACTGAATTCCAAAGGGTTCATTTCCAGTGTGTTGAAGTGGACCATAGCAGACATTTTCCTGATCCCAGAAAAAATGTGCATTTTTAATTTTTATTTTTGCTAAGGTTTGAAAAGTTACTCAACGTCTAGCAAGAACAAATTGTATTTTTCCAGTCCTTGGCCAATGTGTCGTTATGGAGGTCTGAAATGAACATCCCAGTAAGAGTGACATCCTGAGAATTGCAGAGTCTTCAACAGAGTCCTCTGGATCTGTTGGACTACAGTTCTTATCATCCACAAGCAGCATAGGAGCTGTGATCAGAAACAAGTTGGAAAAGCATCCCTGGTCTTTGCACAGTGAGTTCTGTGAGCCGACAGAGAACGGAGAAGGAGGAATCGATATCGCCAGGTTGGAGTCAGGGCAGCGCAGGGCCATGAGGTTGGTGGCCGGTTTGCAGGGGATGGGGTATGAGGCGAGACTGTGCAGGAACTGGGCCTCTTCAGCCTGGAGAAGAGGAGACTCGGAGGGGATCTGTTGGCAACATGCAGGTATGTGAGGGGGTGTCACACGGAGGTGGGCCGAGACCTGTTCTCCCCTGCAGAGGAGGGCAAAATGCGCTCCAACAGAGCAAAGCTCAGGGAGCCAAGGTTCCATTTGGATACCAGGAAGCACTTCCTGACAGGACCCCGAGGGTGTGGAATGGGCTTCCACGGGAGGTGGTCGAGGCCCCATCGGTGCGGGTGTTCAAAGATAGGCTAGCCATGCACATGGTGGGCATGTCATGAGCGGAGCCGGCTGGAGCTGGGGGTCAGACTAGATGGCCCGGGAGACCCCTTCTGATTTGCTCTGTTCCTATGTTTCTATGAATCGTCTCCTTGGGTTGTCTCTGAAACTCCAAATGTTCCATTAGCACCGATAATACCTTCTGTGGAGGCACCAGAGGCTAGAAACGGGGCAACAGCAACAAGCTGCCAAGTGGGGCAGGTCAACTTTGTTGGAAGCTGCCCAGAGAACTTCAGCTAGGGGTGGCATAGAAAGAAATAATGACAATACATATCCTGGAAAGCCCCACAAATAGTCTGGACTTCTATCAGTCCAATGTATGGATTTCATACTGGACTGCCTTTTCCCAATCACACAGATCCCAATCCTACTTGTGGATCATTTGGTTCGACTTTCTGGGACGTTATGCAAATTTAGTCATTGAACAACGCAAAAGAAGGGATTCTCACATCTTTTGATGCACAGATTTGCATGCATGCAAATACATGTTGAGGAGATTGGAAAAGATCCAGTTCCGCCAGTGAGTGGCTGAAGGAGCAAAATGTGCCCAGCGCAGGAGGAGGAGAAGGGACCTCTTGGCGAGGAGAAGCCTCCGTATTAGTGACAGGCAGACAAGACCACTTCTGGCTGATAAGCAGCTTCCCTCTGCCCTGGAGACCCCGGGCTGAGCTGGCCTAGCCTTGCAGGGCCCAAAAGGAGAGCAGGCAAAGACCAGCTTCGGGCTTTAGGGAGCCTGCGGGAGCAACACAAGCTGGAGCAGCCACAATCAGGGGCGGTGGGGGGGGGGCTTGCTAGGCTGCATCCTCACTGTAAGAGCAGGACGTCTGTTTGTCTGATCGCTCGGCCACAAGAGAGACACACAAGCCCTTGTCCTCTTGTCTGGGGAGGGAGTTGATAGTCCTGTCACATAACTACCATGTTTCCCCGAAAATAAGCCCGGGTCTTATATTGATTTTTGCTCCAAAAGATGCACTTGGGCTAATTTTCAGGAGATGCCTTATTTTCTCATGTACAACAATCTACATTTATTCATGTTCAAAACTCTACAGTTATTCATGAACAAAAATCTACGTTTATTCAAATACTGTCATGTCATCATCTTCTGGAACATTGTCATAACTCTCCAAACCCCGAACTGTGTTGCAACGGACGTACTAAATGCATCCGTCTGGCTGACGATCTTAACTGGGGTTTACTTTTGGGGTAGGGCTTATATTACGAGCATCCTGAACAATCACGCTAGGGCTTATTTTCCGGTTAGGTCTTATTTTCAGGGAAACAGGGTAGCAGTGCTGGTGGAAGGTGAATACATCCCCCCCACTTCGGAGAAGCCCAGACACCCCCTCATTTTGCACAGAAAGCAGAAGTATCCCCTTGGGTAGATTAGCAATCAATTTTTCCCAGTCCTGCCCAGCCCTGAATCTTTCAGACTAATTCCGCAGGTCAAACTTCAGGTCAAACATGCAGGGCCTTATGAACAGGTTGGGTACATAAAACACGCACGCTTGGCTTACACTGGTTTAGACGCTTGAGTCCTTGGAAAATGATACAGGAGGCCCCAAGCACAATGACAGTGGCGCACACCCACGGAATTGCTGCTGCTGGTACAGATATGCTTACAACTTTCACAGCACCTGCCAAGAAAAAGCACAGGTCAGAGCCACAGGCAAGCATCAAACGGAACCTGCAGGTGAAAACATGAGAAATATAACCTTCCTGTGGAAGAAAACGGAGATTTATGCTGGCATTCATGACAGCAGTCCTCAAGCAGGTTGTCACCCAGAGGGCTTCTCCTTGCTCATGCCAAAATGCAGGATGTGGGAAGACGGGCCCAAGTTGCAGGACACCAGATCCCAGGAAGAACCTCTTGTTAGAGCAATATGACAGTGGAACCCAGGAGCTCGGGAGGTGGTGGGCTCTCCCACAACAACACATTCAGGAGGCAGCTGGGCAGCCATCTGAGAGGGGTGGTTTACCGTGGAGTCCTGCACTGAGCAGGGAGCTGGACCCAAAGGCTCATGGGCCCCTTCCAGCTGTTCTAGGATCCTGTGATTCTGACAGACCATTATGGGTAGAAGATGCACAAATCGTCTTTTCCTGTTGTGACATCCAGTATGTGAACACCTTTTGCCCTGAAAAATTAGGTGTCTCCTACTTTGCTACCAATTGACGGCAAAAGAAGGGGACGGCAGAGGATGAGGTGGCTGGATGGAGTCACTGAAGCAGTTGGCGTGAGCTTAAGTGGACTCCGGGGGATGGTGGAGGACAGGAAGGCCTGCAGGAGTGTTGCCCATGGGGTCATGATGGGTCGGACATGACTTCGCAACTAGCAACAACAACAACAACTTTGCTGCCATTCCATCACCACTCGGAATGCTCCTTTCCTGGTGAACTTCTGGGTTATCTGCTGGATAAATTAAATTTTTGATTGATTTGGAGCTCTCCTATATGAGGCACTGATTGTGCTCTCATCACAGTTGTTTATGGTTTCTCTCAATGTCATCCTGACCTCCCAGTCTTGCTTCTGTTTTTAAGAGCGCTTTCACCTTTTTATTAGAGCAAGGGAAACACAGTATTACTTGAGAAAACACTTGCTATTTCCCCACTTTTGTAGTTGCATTATTCTGCTGCAGCACAGTGCCACCTAGAGGTTATGTTGGCAGAAAAGCAGGAAAGGAAAAGGTCTTCATTTAAACTTTGACTCCGGATTCTGCAACCAAGCTGAAAGCAGATACAGCACTTCCAGTTACCTTTCTCTCTTGAACAAGTTTTTATTTTCTGATAAGAAAGAAAATGGAAGAAATGGAAAAATACAGGAAGGTTGGAAGGTTAAGGCTCAATAAACTCAACAACATTGTCCAGTAAAATTCCATGACTGAGGCCGGGTGATGTTGCAATAACAGCCCGACACGGAAGTAGCAAAAGTTGGCTTCCGTGGGCAAAAGGATGGGATTTGGCACTGAGCAGGCATGTGCTCTTGTAAGTGCCTTAACCTGGAAAGACAGACGGACAGGCAGGCAGGCAGGCAAAGTCACACTCAGGACCAAATTCCATCCTTTTCCCACCACTGGGCCAAGTTGTGAGGCCCAAGTCATGAGACACACACCCTCCAAATGGACAGGAGGAAAGGCCCCCCGAAGCTTTTCGGTGCCCTAACTCTAACCTCCATGAAGAATTTTACCTTCCTCAGCACATGCTCACCTGTAGCGGTTGCAGCAACAACAGCGCTCACTTTAACTGCTCCGGACATTTCCACATATGGTAGCTTCCTGAAAAGATCAACTTGAGTTAGCTAATTGGGAGTGTGTCTATGTTTTCGGCTGATTTTCTTTCCAACCCTGGGTGATCCAGACCGGACCAGCTGGTAAGAAAGAAAGGGACATGCTTTAATCCATGTCGCAGAAGCCTCCCCCAGCTCAGCTTTCCGTGTGCCTTTGTGCCCATTACTTTCCCCCTCGCCCAGAGGTGGTGGGAGGCATGCCTTGCACACAGAAAGTCTCCGCCTGACGCCCTCGTGGGCTGAGAAAACCAGGCGAGGTAATCATCTACCCCAGAACTTTTTCTACATGAGGCATGCTGCACTATCTTTAGATGATCACAAAACCCTCCAATTTTGTTTTTCTTTGAAAATAGTGTTTCCCACAAACATTATGGGAGCAGGGAAAATGGGTGCAGGAATACCTGGACTCCTTTCAGATGTAGATGTAGATAAATCCTGGCAGAAAAGAGTTGCCTATGTGCCTTTGTGTTACAAAATGCCTACACTCCTTTCTCAGGAAGCACCCAAGAATTCCAGGCCAGGTTACTGGTTGGCATTTGCTGTTACTCTAAGAAGTGGGACCTGATGGCTTCTCCAGGAAGCTGCCAGGGCTCTTGTTTTTGCTGATCAGTAAGAGCTGATCAGGCTGCCGGGTTAACAGCATCGCAATCACCCTCATCTCCATGCCAAGACCCACAGTAATGCTGTGCCTCAGGGATCGTTAATCTCCTGCAATCAAATGCCATTGCACTGAGCCCCCCTGCAGACCCCTCACCTTCTTTTGACTGTGTTCCCCTTATTTTATTTATTTATTTATTTAGAATTTTTGTATCCTGTCCCATCGCCAGAGCCTCAGGATGGCTTACATACAATACAATAAATAAACAATAAATGCAAATAGTGCAAATTAAAATCCAGATTCACCCTGGCTGCAGATTAAAACCTATAAGCTGATGTCAAAAGTTATTAAAATATTGTTGAAATAAAAAGGTCTTAGCCTGGCACTAAAAAAAAATATAACGACGGCGCCAGGCGGACCTCTCTGGGGAGCACATTCCATTGGTGGGGCGCCACCACAGAGAAGGCCCTCCTCCGAGTACTTTGCCTCCTGATGTCTTTCATGGAGGGCTCCCAGAGGAGGGCCTCCGCTGCCAATCTCAGGGGGCGGGAGGGCAAATATGGAAGGAGGCGTTCCTTTAGGTATCCAGGTCCCAAGCTGTTAAGGGCTTTATAGGTGATGACCAGCACCTTGAATTGAGCCCGGACTTCGATGGGGAGCCAGTGAAGCTGGGAGAGGACTGGGGTTATGTGAGAATAACACCCAGTCCTTGTCAGCAACCTGGCTGCTCTATTTTGCACCATCTGAAGTATCTGGACTGTCTTCAAGGGCAGCCCCATGTAGAGTGCGTTACAGGAATCCAACTGGGAAGTAACCAATGCATGTGTCACTGTCGCTAGGCAGTCATCCTCCAGGCAGGGACGCAGCTGATGGATTAGCTGAAGCTGAAGGAAAGCGCTCCTCGCCACCGCAGTCACTTGAGCTTCCAACAATAGCTCTGGGTCGAGGAGCACTCCCAAGCTGTGGACCCTGTCCTTTAGAGGGGGTGCAACCCCATTCAGGGCAAGGTCCAAGTCACCTACTCAGGAGTTCAAACCACCCACCAACAGGACCTCTGTCTTGTCTGGATTGAGTTTCAGTGTATTTCCTCATCAACTGTCCAGGTGCTGGGCCCATGTGACTCAGAGTCTATAAAACACTCTGCACATGTTCTAAAAGCTTGCAGTTGGCAGTGGAGACCACTATCCGGGAGCATGCTGTCGTAAGTAAAAGCAGGGGTCCTGGCTGCTCTATTAATACATTCCAGGGGCTCAAGAAAATCCAACCTTCCCTACAAACCTATTTATTTTTTTGTTCTTACTATTGATATCAAGTACCTATCACTACAGGCAGTAATGTAATAATAATAATATTTTAAAAAGTAAGAAGAGATTTTATAGAGTAGGGAATTATGCCTGAGAATGGATAGGAAAAGGATGGGTAGGAAGATATTTTTCTCATCCTCTCCTAATTATAGAACCCAAAGAAACTGATTGGTGAGGGATTCAGAACAGATGCAAAGAAATACTTCTGCACGGAGCGTATAGCACAGCTCTTCTACAAGATGTAGTGGAACAGTTTTAAAAGGAGATTGGGTGGATGCCTGCAGCAGAAGGCTATCAAGGCCACCAATCCTGATGCCTCCAGGATCAGAGATGGTATTCCAGTGTATACCAACTGCTGGGGAACATGGGGAGGAGGGTGCTTTTGCACTCATGTTCTGTTTGTGGGTTTAGGATGGATAAATGGATGGACTTCTTCGCGCAGCACATGGTTAAAGGGGTCAGACTAGATGGCCCCGGAGATCCCGTCTGACTCACTCCGTTTCTAGTTTCGATCGCAGGTATTTCCCTCAGTGTCTTTCTAGGAAATCAGGCGGCTGTGAAGCAGAGGCAGTTTCCCACTTCGGGCACCAGGTGGCACTGCTGCCCCACTTTCCTACAAGGTGCTTGTAAGGACGGGGAAGGACTCGGCAGAGCCACCAAACAGAAGTGGAGTCGTAGCGGAACGTCCAGGTGCCTTTTCTTGATTTTGCCCAGGTTTCAAAACATGGCCTTATTCTCTCTACGTTGTGCGTCAGCGCTTGCTCCAGGCTTGTGGGAGCGGGCCTAGGCAAGCCCCCTGAATCAGGCCTACCACCTCCTTGCTGAGTTGCTATTTTGAGGGATTGTGGGCTCCCAGGAATGCCTTTGGAGGTGGGTCCATACCTTCAGTATTGGTAAAAGCTGCGGCTGGTCAACCGAGGGAGACCTTCTGCAGTGAAGATGTTTTCGGGAGGTGCCCGAAAGATCACAGTGTCGGTGCTTGTCCGACCCCCAGAGGCAGGGAATTGCGCAAAGAGGAGGCCATCGCACTAAAAGCTCTTCTCCAGAACGGTTCTGATCAGGCCACAGGTGCCTGTGCAACCACCGGGCGCATCCCGTCTCTTGAACTCTGGGAGCAAGCAAGCCGGCTACCTGGAGAGAAGGTGCTCTCTCAGGTATGGGGCTGCAGCAGAGGGTGCCACATCTGACTGAAAGGTTAAGCACAGCTGCACAGAACAAACAGCCAGAGAGCGAACACCCTGAAGACCGAAAAGAAGCAAGGAGATCTTTTCCATCTGCCTATTCCATGCTGCTCCAGTACCTGTTCTTCCCTCCCAGGCGAATTATAATGAGCGTATTTCCTATGCAGGGTGTGTTAGTTAATAGTCAAGAGGTCACTGAGCAAGCTTCCTGCCATCTTGTCGATGTGCCAGTTCCTTCAGAATCTCTGATCCCAGCCCCCCTCCCCTTCTGACTCAGGCATTGTCTTTGCTGCATTTGCACACTTGTTTCAAATCATCTTTCCGTCCCTGTCAGGGATGCTCCACCTGCTTTGGCCTTCAGTGGCCCCTTCCAACTCTACTATTCTATGATTTATTCCATTTCGTTTCGTTTTTATACCACCCAACAGCCAAAAGGCTCCCTGGGGAAATGAAAACAAAAACAGAACAAAAGCACCCATTCCTGTGTGCAATTTGGGGGGGGGGCGTGCCGGGGGGCAGCACAAAAGGAAAAAGGGCACTAAGGGAGCGTCTCCACCTTGGCTGCAGCGTTCTGCTTTCTCAATGTGCTTGGTATTTTCTGTTCCAAGGCCCAGAGAGGCTTTTTGGAAGACTTTGCCACAAACCCTCTGCTGTCTCTCTCAAAGAGGAAGTTACAGCCTGGGAACTGCAGAAGACACTGCAGCAAGCCGAGATCATAAGCCTTTTAGGCTGTCCAAACATGCGTCCTAAACTGAGCAAGGGGCTGGAGAAGGGCTCCCATCTGCAGAAGATTTCCAGCCTCTGGGGCTGCTCGTGCGTTTCCCCGGTAATGCCCTCCAAGCTGCAAAAGCGGCACCCAGCAAACTTTGGCATGCTCTTCCTCTACACATTTGCACTGTTCCTTTCCTGAGATTGGGCTTCGTCTAAATAACAGGATCTCTGTCAAGTTGTAGGAACTCTCAGTTCCTACTGGAACTCTCTGCTCAGGTTTGGATCCCAGCTATAAGTTTTTAGAGGGATCCCTTCTCTGGGATTTTGCCCCCTTTGCAATGCCTTTGTTGGCTTCAGCTGATTCTCACTGAGTCTCAGATCAAGGGCTGGAGAAAGTAATATGGGTATAAGTTAGAGCAGTAAGCAGCACTTACCTTCTTGTATGGTTGCTGGCACAAAACTGCCCCCCCACTTTCTGTTTCCTCAGAAATATATAGACAACAGCTGCAGGCAATTTGGTGATGCAATACTGGGGAATATCTGGCTCTCCCTTTCTGGGAAATCAAATGGCAATGAAGAAATGGCCTTGCCATTCCCTCTGCAAACACAGATGTCACTGCTGATACACAGCTAATGAATCTCCTTGCTGTCCTGCGCTGAGTACACACAGACACCCAGTCTCTGTGTTACCTTTTCACGAATTGCCAGTTTCAGGCCAGGGTGCCAAAGGCCGTGTGGTGATTGCCTGTCTGCGATTGCCTGTCTGTGATTGCCTGTCTCCAAGTCAGGTGGGACCACCCAGAGAAAGTCGAATAAACAGGCCAGGGACGTAGAGGCTGGTTAGAATTAACAAAGTCTGGGAACATAGATAGTTCCGCTCGTTGTCTGAGCAGCTCTGCCTAAATTAATCTATAACCAGAGGGAAATGAGCACGGCTGGCTCGTTCATGGACAATTTCAGAGTGGCTGTTCAGAGTTCATGGCCGTTTCAGAGTGTTTGGGTTTCTGTCGAAGCTGCAGCCATGTTCTCCTCCTCCTTTCTATGGGGCAGATTCCCTCTGCCTCCGGTCCCTGCTCTCAGGGAGCCACCGGGACTGCCCCAAAAGGTCCTGGCCCCTCTTCATCTAACGGGGGGGCAGTCCTCTGCAGCCACGACCTCTTGTCTGATTGCGGCTGGAGCTCGCTGCCCTGGCTTTGTCTGAGGAATCCTCCTGCAGGTAGGACACAACCCTTGTGCAGAAGAAGAGGCGAGGGGACGATGGGCAGAACAGAGCCAAGCAAAGAGAAGCCACACAGGGCAGCCTTCCTTGGTTTTGTGGGAGTGCAAAAGGCTTGCAGGACGATATGCCCGACCGCCCTTTGAGATCTGCGGGAGAGTCCCTTCTCCGGGAACCCTCCATGAAAGAAATTAGGAGAGTAAGTACCCGGAGGAGGGCTTTCTCTGCGGTGGCGCCCAAC